CGGTGCTCGTTAGTTTCTTGGGATTCGATTGCCGGCGGTCTGTTACGCGGCTGTGGGAAGTTGGGAACCGCAATCCCTTTCTGTTTCTGGTTTGAATGTGGACCACATGCGTGTCATCCTTCCTTGCCCGGGGCCTGGCGGACTAGCTCAGTTGGTTAGGCATGCAAGTGACATTCAGGAGGTTGTGAGTTCGAGCCCCATGACCGCGTGTGGCGGCGCACTTCGTACCAAGCAACTGTGATAGTCGGCTTGATCCCCCTGGTTGGTATTAGTACGGTCTATGACGAACATCGTTATGAGTGTGAGCGGGAGTGGGTTGTGTGTGGCGTGTGGGAGAGTGTTGGCCATAGGCACTGCTGGCACTCGGTGGGTAACACTAATACCCATGGATTGCTCCAAGCGTAAACTTCATCTTTCATCATAACCAATGCCGATTGCAACTATTGACACTTTCAAATTGAGACAACGCATCTTAAAACCTGATGGCCGCCAACAGGGAAAGGTGGAAACACAGTCATGGGTGAGCCGAGTTCGCGAAGGAAAAAAACAGGGGGGAGGGAGGAAAGAAAAGAGAAGAAAGAAAAGGAGAAAAGGAGAGGCAAGAGAAGTGTTCGTTACATAGTACAAGCGAGTAACCTGGCGAATCGCAAATAAAGGCCAGAAACAAAAATCACCACAAAAACTGAACAATGAACCACTTATAACACTTTCCTACAAACATTGTCAAAGTGAGAACCCATGCTAAAATCATCCAAAGCTTCGAAAGGTCGCATAGGACTTCAACCTTACGGTTGGTGGAAAAAGCAGCCTCTGGTGCTAAAATCCTACCAACATACGAAGCGATATCCTATGATTTAGAATCAAAGTATATTACTCCGTACAGCAAGTTGCCTTTCTTAACGGGTGAGCAACATAATACTATTGAGCGCATCTTAAGGCCGTATATGCGAGAAGAACAGATCATTTTCAAGCATGAGCCATGCTAATTCAAAGTCAAGCCGAGATAAGAGCAAAGGAGATCAAGAATAAGAATATATGACAAAGCAAAATACAGCAGGTCCGTAGCATATACCATCATAGCATCTCGCCCTGCCACCTCATGCCCTTCTTCTATTCACATAACACACTATGCATCTTATAAGATCTGTGGAACCCTCGTTGCCGATTCGAATCAGGTTAATCAGGGGCGCAAAGTAAAATATATACGTACGTAATCGATCTCACTCGCCGAGCCAAGCGAAAGGCATGATCGCACCAACAAACAGGAGTCAAATCGTCAGCACCCTTTGACATACACCCCCATCCCCCATTATGTAGATATGATGAAAGCACAATTGCTATTCATTATGATCATCCTGTCGAGAGCAACCTATGGACCCCAACCTGATCCAGAAGTATACCACAGGCATCATAAAAACAACCCGCTTAACCATCCTTCCCCCATACCTTATGCACATAACCCCCTATACATCTTACTGAAGTTACTGGACCAGCGAGATCCTCCGTTGTAACCTTCATACCATACTCTAATCGAGATGTAAACCATAGGTGTCCTCCACGCCGATCCTCACCTTGCTTTTCTCTCACATACATAACCCCTTACGCACCTAGTGGAAACATTTGCTGCCATGCAGTATCAAGCTAATCAGGGGGCACGGAGTAATAAAACAACAACACTGAGGACGACCTCACCCGCAGAGCCAAGCCAAGCGACATGATGGCAATACCAAACGAAAGCCATATCATCAACAATCTCCCTGGGTCTGCTCGACATACACCCCCTTCCCCCCATGAATTTGCCACAAAAAGGTGGAACGAATCAAGAGTCATGAAGACCGTTATCGATGCAATCCCAATCCAAAAACCAAACATGACGAAAAACAATGCTCCTGTAATCTCCATAACCTTATTCCCGGGCCCAGAACCTTGATTGAGCATACAAATCAGCAGCAGACTCGGCAGGAACATACATCAACGCTACGCCTTCCTTATTTTATGGTCTCCCTGAAAGACAAAACCACAGTCTTCCCCCGAAGAGAACGTACGGTCATTATAGCTCAAAATTTGGGAGAATTTCCAGACTAGTACTGACAATAAGACAGTACGTTATACTCGGTGTAACACGGTACACTCCTTGCCTATCACGAAATACATACACAAAGGAATGACATAACACGGACTGCTCCCCATCGCCATGGTCTGACATGATTATAAGCAAAAGTTCAATGGCCGAAGCAACTGGATATCTTAGACAACGAGCAGTCTAGAACACAAACGCGATCTTCGTCTACTTCAAACAAATGAAAGACAATGACCAGGAAGTGAAAGACTTCCACCATCTATGCTTGCGGTTTCGTCATTGAGTTCAACCTTACTCCTTCCTCCTCCGTCTTTGCACCTTTCTTGGTCGTAAGTGATGTCGAAAAATCCACTATTCCCAATGCCCTGAAGATGGACGTTTGGCCACCTCCCTCTCGCTATCGTAGCGATGAGTGCTTTGACCGCCCTGCCTCTCGCCCTTGTGGCGATGATCCAAGTCTTCCAAGACACCCACCCACGCGAGACACCAAAAACCTCTCCCTTTTTTATTCTCCGAAGCGTGGCCGACACACCCCACGAGGCCATTAATCCTACATATGCTGAGTCTGCACAACATTCAACACACAACCGCATCGCTCGGGTCAGAGATTCACGTAACTTGTTTTCGACAAATTTGCTCATGTTGTCCTCGCTATTCGTATTCTTTGACTTGATCCTTATAAAGCAGACAGTTTCGAGTCCGACTATAATTGATATTCTTGTACTCGTTCTTTAAGGAAGCGAACAACACCTCGATGATCCCAACCGTTTCAAAAGCGAAGGGAAAAAGGTAGGTGTTGTTCGACAAGTACATTGAACGTTCCCTCACAGTAGACATCTGCCTTCCCCTAAGCCATTTGACCTTCTAAGCGCTTCCATGACAGGCATGCCTTCCATGCCACAACCTACGCCACAACACTACCTCTACGTGGAAAATTGACATGCAACCTGAATAACTCCATGCCACAGAGCTAATACGTGTCCTCATCACATACGACCGCAATAAAGCCCGCCAGACACCGTGATGTGCGTGTCCGCTTCCTATACAACGTCAATAATGCCCGTCAGGCGCCGTGATCGCACATCCCACATCCGTACAAATCCTCCATATATCACCTTCAACACCACAATCAAGTCATTTACAACTCACCTTAATCAACTGAACTGAATCTACTATGCCCATGTGACATTCATGGTTTCTCGCTGATGCGACGACATGTCAAAAATAGCATTACTAAGTTCGTGCACCCAAATTCCAACTTCCACATCGAATTATCTTTCCGCTAGTGCAACACACAGACATTCGACGCCGGCCCTCCATCGATACCGACGAGAGACTTTGACAGTAAACCGGAACAGGATGCTTACATGTTACACCAATAACCAACAAGACATTCTCGACAACCTAAACCCCCCAAACCGCGTAAATGTCGAGATTCCGAGGAGCAAACACTGATCTGGTACCACTACGTTGCATCCTGCCCACTAATTACACACTGTCTTCAATCCTTACTCTCTCACCTTCGAGGGCATAGATGAGGTGATGGCCTCGTGTGTAGCTAGGGAACAAAAAGCTATCGTCCTCAAGCGTTAACTGCGCCGCCCTATACTTTCTGCCTGCACAGGCCATCTGCTCAAAATCCTCCCAGATGGACACAGATCCTCCCTCCGACTTCAGAACCTCATGACGTTCAGTGTACTCGGACGGGCGAACTCCGACTTCAGAACCTCATCACGTTCAGTGTACTCGAACCATCTTTCGCCCGTCTTGATCAACCTGCCACCGCGGCTGGTGTCCCCCTGTATTCCCACGGCCTCTGCGACCACGACAAGCACACGTGTGATGGGCAGTGCCAACACCGCTTTGTACCTCAGGCCAACCGCCACAGCTGTCTCCATAACTGCTTTCCGCAGAACTTTCTTAGTTCTTCAAGGTCTTCAAAACTGTAGAGAGTCGTCGTGCCATGGTGTTCACAAGAATCACAAAGCTGAAGCTACGCACACCCTTTTGTGACCCGCAGCTGCTTTGACTCACAGCAGATGAAGGGCGTGCCATGGACCACTTTCCACCTCCATCATTGACCATGAAGAGGTTATTTATACTGCATGTACTGGCGCCTTGCTGTCCATCATAGCCTGTTGCTGAAACCTCCCTATCCCTCCCCTACCTGCCAAGACACACAGCCTAGGACCAGGCCCCACGGTATGCTCGGAAGGCATTACTCCGGGCAGGTTCACAGCCTTAGGACCAGGCCCCATGGTATGCTTGGAAGGCACGATCCTGGCGTATGGTTCGCGGCAAGGTCCCACTTGCACGGATTAGGAGATTTCGGCCGTTGATCTTCGCTATCCACGGTCAATATGGCATAATTCGTGCAAGTCGGACCTAGCCCCCGGGCAGGTTCACAGCCTTAGGACCAGGCCCCAGGGTATGCTCGGAAGGCACGATCCTGGCGCTTACTCCGGCCAGGTTCACAGCCTTTAGAACCAGGCCCCACGGTATGTTCGGAAGGCACGATCCGGGCGCTTACTCCGGCCAGGTTCACAGCCTTTAGGACCAGGCCCCACGGTCTGCTCGGAAGTCACGATCCTGGCGTTTACTCCGGCCAGGTTCACAGCATTAGGACCAGCCCCCACGATATGCTCAGAAGGCTTCCTGATATGCATGAACATAGCACCACTGGGCCCTGCCCCTTACCACCGACGGACCTGGCGGTTGTTCCGGAAAGGTTCGGGCTTTCAAGCATAAGGCTGGTCGCTACAGGTAGACGGGGAAACATGCGCGACAGGCTATGATGGAAGGCAAGGCGCCAAAAGGAACCACCAGAGCGGATGTGGCGGGCGCTAAATGCATCTTCGCTTCATCTGAGTGTCCTTATACACAGCCGCGCCATGGTCAAGAGTTGACGCAGGAAGTGCTCGGTGGTAGAAAGCGGAGGAGTATGTGCGATTGACCTGGGCCGAATGAGTGCAGCTTCGGTTGACCAGTAAGTGTCAGCTGTGGGCGCAGAAGGGTGTGGGTAGCTTCGGCTTCGTGGAGGCTGTGGCAGGACGATCTCCACAGTTTCAAGGCGTTGAAGAACGAAGAAAGCTCTGCGGAAGACAGCTATGGCGGCTGGCGTGAGCTACAAAATGGTACTGGCAGTGGCAACGACATGCGTGTTTGTCGTGGTCGCAAAGGCCGTGGTAGTGCAAGGGAAGATGAGCCGCGCCGAAGGGTCGACCAAGACGGCCGAACGGCGGCTCGAGTACACTGAACATCATGAGGTTTTTAAGTCTGAGGGAGGATCAGTGTCGATGTGGGCGGACTCGTTTGAGCAGATATCTGGCGCAGGTAGAAAGTTCTCGGCCTTGCACCTCACGCTGGAGGAGGATGGCTTTTTGCTCCCTAACTACTCTCCAGGCCATGGCGTCATTTATGTCCTTGAAGGTGAGAGATAACGGAGTGAAGACATGCGTAAGTAGAGATCAACCCGTGAGTCAGGATGCAGCATGTTGATGTCAGTCCAGTGAGTCCACATTAAATTCTCGCAGCGGTTTTGTGGTAGGCGTATATCGGGACGGCTATGATGCGAAGTACCTCTGGCAATCACACGAGTGTTTTCCCCTCGGAATCTGAGTATTAAGCGTCTTGGGGTCCAGTCTTTCAGTGAATTGTTTGTCGGTTCTCCTGAAAACAAATGTAACAGTTGCTTTTTTATTGTCGTCAACATCGTTGGTATCACAGTGGAGCGGCGTCGTAAATATCGTGGTGTGTTGCACTGGAAGTGGGAAAACGTAAAACCATTCCCTGGGAACCTCGGCACCAGCCTATTGAGCTTGAGGTCGCCGATTCGATTCCGTGCAGGATCGAACCCAGGAGAAATACATGAGCCATGATTGGGCCAGGGCCAGGGGCATTATGCTAGCATTATGTATGTTGTAATTTTAGTACTGTGTATAGTTTGTGCCTGGCATGCAGCTATTTAGGGTGCGTGTTGGCATGCAGCTATTCAGGGTGCATGTTCATAGTATATTGTGCTAGCAATGTTAGTGCTGTGGCATGGAGGACATGACGCCATTACCCGTCTTCACCCAAATACAACGTACGGTCGTTACGGCTGCATCTGGACTCTGAAGCCGCCCCACATGCAGCTATAATGACCATACGTTGTGTTCGGGTGAAGACGGGTTAGTTGGACAAGTGTTTAGGGAAAGAAAGATTTCTACCGTTGCAATGTATTCGTTAAACTGGTTCCTTCTGTTTTTTTTAAACGGTCGGGTCGTGCTGTCCGCTTCTCTGCGTAGGAAAATAGAAGAGTATTCAATAGCGAGAAAAACATGAGCGTAGTAGTAGAGAACTACCTAGTTGCATGTATTTCTGACTCGAGCGAAGCGATTGTGTGTTGGATATTGTGCAGGCTCAGCATATGTTGGACTGATGACGCCGTGGGGTATCCCGGCCACTCTGCAGAGAACTAAGAAGGGGGAGATGTTTGTTGTCCCGCGTGGGTGGGTGACTTGGATCTGCAATCATCACCACAAGAGCGAGACGGGCGGCGGTCAGACGTCCACCTTTAAGGCATTGGCTGTTGTGGATTTCCCAGCATCACTGGCGAGCGAAAAGGGTGGAAAGACTGAGACGAACGGGGTAAGACTCCTCGAGTACTGGACGAAACTGCGACATTCATAGATTGATGTCTTCTTTCAGTGTTCTTTTTTTTTGTGTTTTTTTTGGATCACTTCTAGATTTATAATTTATGCGTGTCAGTCCTTATGCAGAGGCGGCGGGGCCATACTAACCTTCTTATGTGTTGTTCGTAATTTGACGGATGTCCCGAAATACATTTTGTTATTGTGATGAATTTGCGGAGTGGTGAAAATTCTCTCTCGTGTGGGTCGTGTGAAGTCGGCTTCGTGAATAGAATGGACGGTCAGTATGTCCGTATCTGGTCAACTTTTCAGTCCAGATGCAGGGAAAATGATGTTACTCTCTATTCGGGTGAAGACGGTAGTAATCATACTAATCTTAGACTTGTGTTGTTTGTATTTTGACGAATGACCCGAAATACATTTTGTTACTGTGAAGAATTTGCGGAGTGGTGAAGATTGTCTGTCGTGTTAAGTCGTCTCCGTGAATAGAATGGACAATCAGTATGTCCGTATCTGGTGAAGTTTTCAGTTCAGATGCAGGGAAAATGACGTTACGCTTTATTCGGGTGAAAACGGTAGTAATCAGAGCACGTGCCAGCTCTTTCCGCGATGGGGATTGTTGGAACTCTTTTGTCGGTGCTTAACGATATGATTGATATCCGATCGTGGCGATAGGGAGACGTCGGCTGTTCACGTCGACTTGATGCCATATTTCATGTCGCACATTGCATAAAACACCACATGAGAAAAATAAATTAGCAATTCGACGTCGATGGTTGAATCATCTTACACCATTATCATTGGTTCGTGTAGCATATACGTACGAAAAGTAATTTTATGTTCTAATTTTTTTATGGAGTGCTGGTCTGTCACGCCAGAGGTCGCCTTCTCTAGCTTGACTGCTTGTCTAATCTTTCTGGAAATAAGAAGGGGCGTCTTTCATGGACAAACGTGTGCGGTAGTTTTTCAGGGAAACCATTTATTAAATTGGCGTTTTTAGACTTTCCTTTTTTTTTTCTTTTTTTTTCTGGGTTGACTCTCTGCAGCTTCATATCTCGTAATGTTTCAATTGTTTTTGGATGTCGACGTGGTGCATTAGCAATGGATATGCGGTCTTTCAGGGAAACCATTTATTAAATTGGCGTTGACTTTCTTTCTTTTCATTCTTTCTTCTCTTTCTTTCTTTCTTTTTTTTTTTTTTTCTTTCTTTTTTTCTGGGTGCAGACTCTCTGCAGCTTCATATCCCGTAATGTTTCAATTGTTTTTGGATGTCGACGTGGCGCATTAGCAATGGATATGGGGAGTCGGTGTCTATAAGTTGGCGTCTGTACATTAGTGTAGTCACTGTAGTGTAAACTCTGTAGATGACGTTCCGCATGAACGATTCAACTGTCACGATTGGGATGGTAGGTGCCTGTTGTTTTTCTGTGAGTTGATGCCTGCTGTTTGCTTAAGGTCTTTTAACTCTTTAGTGGGACCTTTTCCCTACATTGTTTATGCCGTCGCATTTGTTGTCGAATGCTTCCAGCCTGATGGTTTTCAAGGGCTAATTGCAGAAATAGTATTTTTTCCTGTGCATGGGAAGTACGGAAAATACCATATTTTTTCTGTCTAACTTGCCGAACGCTGTTAAATTGTGTTAATTTGCAGTGTATTAGGTATTTTAAATGAACCTTGGGAACCGATGGTGCTTTTTGCAATTGAACTTTGAAAAACCAATATTCTTTAACCCTTCTTTTAGCGCGATACGTTAATTTCAAATCGATGTTCGTTTTGTATTTGCCTGTTTGTTCGTTTAAAGAGTCTTTGTTTCGCGGGATCTCTTACCGGCATTTTTATGTTGTCGTCGATTTGCTGACGAACGTCTCCCGCCTGTTGGTCCTTCGAACGTGTTATTATTTTTATTCCCCCCCCTTTCCCCCCGGGGGGGATGGGCCGCGCGACCCGCCGCTGAGTGCAACAAAAAAGGCAACGCTGGAGGGGTCCCCTGTGACCCTTCCGTAGCCCTAGAAAATTAAATATCATGTGGCCCGATGAATTTAACATCATGTGGCCCGATGGACCACTGCTGATCAGAACAGATACTATACTTGAGCGTCGCCAGAAGGCCGAGAAAGATTCGGTTATGGTAATTTTTGTTTTTCTTTTTATGGTACTTCTGAGAAGAACGTGCGTTGTATGGCTGTGGTTTTGTAACTTTTGCAGTGCTATTTCTTGGCCGGCGCTTCGGAGCGAGGGGGTGAAGGGCGCGCAGGGCACGGAAGTGTTCTTCACGGCTTCAGCAACGATGTGCTCGCCCAAGCGTGGGGTTTGGATGAGGCAGATGTGGACAAACTACTCCGTTCGCAGGAAGGTGTCGGGATTGTCAAGGTGAGTGGTGACACCAACCATTCAGGCCTGGGAACCTACCGCCTTCCCCTGAACATTACGCATGTGCGTTGTATTCGAGTTCTCGACATTTCAAAGAGAAAATCTGTGCGTAGAATGTGGCAGTTGTGGTGTGAGCAAGTACACCGGTTGCACACGATAATCTACGGCCCGTACCGGCTGCTGTGTGTTTCGTCTTATTATTATAAATTATAGTTGGTTCGATCGAATGCAGTCACGCATGCCTATCTTGTTGAAGGGATTGGTGGGGGGGTGGGGGGTGGGGGGTGGGGGGCGTGCCGAAAGGGTTTTAGGTGTGTATCAGGTGGTAACGTGGTAGTGATGAAAATTGGTGGTGTGGTGGCTGGTGATAATGGAATGGAAAGACTTATATAAGTTGGAGGTGGTTTGTGTCAATGATACGAAGTTGGGGGGAGGTTGTGTCAATGATACGGCTCAATGGATAAGAGTCGTCTGTGTGAAATTCGGAGCCCGGCAGGGCTGTTTAGATGGTGAATGAAGGATGGAGTATGTTTGTGTCGATCAAGAAGGGTGGTAGGTGGGTTGGTGTGCTCTTATAGGAATAATGTTGAAACTTCTGTTGTATTATGGTGCACGTACGTGTGCTGGCGTGGCAGGTGACTAAGACTGGGCATCCGGAGTTGTGGGAGCGTTTTGTGAGAAAGCTGTCGCACATGGAAGTGTTGAGCGACATGTTCAGCTTCGTGGATGGACTCGCACACACCAAGAGACATGGGGGTCGTCACGGAGAGGAGGAAACCGCCTCCTGGTTCTTGGGGGAATTTACCTATAATGTCGAGACAGCGACTCCTGCTGTCTTCAATGAAGGTGGTGAAATGCGTGTCGTTGGCAAAGAACTGCTGCCGACTCTTGGAAGGTTTGGCATGGGTTTCTCTCTCGCTGTCGGTAAACTCAAGAAGGTATGCGATGTCTCATTGTAACTGTATTTCTTTGATTACCTCTGTTCGTTGGTCACCTGTGCTTTGTCTTGTTTCAATCGGAGAATGGGATGATTTTTTTTTTTTTGTTTTTTACAGGACGGAGTAGTTCTTTTTGTGTTTTTATGAAAGGGTAACAGCGTTGAGATATCATTTTGAAGGTGACCGGCCCCAGGTAATTCAGAATTGTGCTATTTTGGTCATCTAATTGTATCTGGATTCGAGCTCGAGTCTGTACTTCAACAGTTCGTGTGTACCCGACGTGCTTGTTTATTTTTATTTACAGAAGGAAAAGAAGGTCGACGGCCTTGAGATGTGATCATCAATCTGACTGGCATTAGGTAAATTCAAGATTGTAGTATTTCAGCCATTTGACTTGAGTTTGAGTTTTAACTCTGGTCTGTATTTCGACAGGTCGGGGATGTATCAACTGAGCTAGGCTGGTTGGTGGACCCGACGATTTCGGTAAGAAGACATGGAGATTGCGGCCAGTAACGTTAAGAGTTGAATCCCAAGGAATATTTGCAGAGGTCTGTATTTCGACAGGTCAGGGGTGTATCAACTGAGGCCGCTAGCCGGGGGCCAGGTCCCACTAGCAGCGTTGAGTTTCCTCAACGCCTGAATCTGGACGCGCTCGTGGAGATGTGCGGTTGAGAAAACTCAACGCGATTTCTGCACATATCCACATACAAGTCCAGATTCAGGCGTTGAGGAAACTCAACGCTGCTAGTGGGACCTGGACCCGGTTCTGTATTTCGACAGGTCGGGGGTGTATCAACTGAGGCCGCTAGCCGGTTGATGGACCCGACGATTTCGGTTAAAAAAACATGGAGATTGCGGCAAGGAACGCGAGAGTTTAATCCCAAGGGGTATTTACACTGGTCTGTATTTCGACAGGTCGGGGTGGTGTATCAACTGAGCTAGGCCGGTTGGTGGACCCGACGATTTCGGTAAATAAACATGGAGATTGCGGCGGCGGGAAACTTGAGAATTGAACTAGGGGTAGTTACACAGGTCTGTATTTCGACAGGTCGGGGGTGTACCAACTGAGCTAGGCCGGTTTGACCCGACGATTTCGGTGAAAATAGCATGGAGATTGCGGCCAGGAACGTGGGAGTTGAATCCCGAGGAGTATTTAGTATTTACACTGGTCTGTCCTCAGGGAGTTGGACGGGGCAATGCTGAGTTTACTGTCTTCCCTCGAACATAACACGAACCACAATTTCGGGGTTTTCTGAACCGACATCGTCACAGCTCACCGGGCTCCCGCCGGTAGGACCTGAAAACGGAACGAGATGGTCTGCTCATGAGTAAGTGTTATGTAAGTGCAGTGTCTACCATCTTCCTCCGAACGTATTGCATTTCAAGTACACTGTTTAGTACGTATACAAGCGATCTCTCCATTCCGATACAGCCATATGAGGATGCGTCTGTCTACGGCCTTTGAACATAATGCAACGCACCCTGATAATGAGCGTCTGATAAGGTACGTATACAAGCGATCATTCCTGCATGGTACAGCCAACGAAGGTGCGTCTGTGTCTACTGTCAATCCTCCGAGCATAAGGCACCCTGTTTATGTTTTGACAATTTCTAGCGGTTTGCTGTGGTTAGCGAGCAAATGAATATGCAGTACGTCAAAAAAAAAAAAAAAAAAAAAAAAGTATGTGCGAAAATTCATTTACCCAAAAAAAGAAAAGGCGTTTTTATTGTGGTTTTCTGTCTGCGCTGTTTGTCTCGAATGTGGATCATTTTCTTGATTGGACAGGGCGCGTTGCAAGCCCCAGGGTGGTCTGTCAATGCTCACAGGATTGTGTACGTGACCAGCGGTAGCGGACGGATTCAGATTGCCCATCCGAACGGCAGTAACGCTCTCAACACTCACGTGCGTGCTGGGTCGGTCGTTGTCATCCCGCGGTTCTATCCCTCTGTTAAGGTAAGTTTGGTGTGTGCGTAACGGTACGTGGAATGTAGACAATATTGGAGCAGCTGGCTGCTCATGAAAATGGCGGGCTTCGAACATAATGAAAAGAAAGAAGCAGACAAATGAAGAATCGTTTTCATCGACGAATATTTAGGTTTCTGTTGATGAAAGCAGTTGCCTGTAGCGGTTGCAGAGTCTAATTCGATGTTTTCCTTGAATCGAAGGAGTTTTTATGTGGGGTGATTGCAGAAATAGCGTGTTTTGTTGTACAGGTTCAAGAGATCTATTTTTGTGAGGAAAGTGGGACCCCGTTGTAATTTTTTTATTTTATTTTTTTCAATTATCATATCTCCCCGTTGTAATTTATTTTTTTTTATTTTTTTTCCAATTATCATATCTGTTTTTTTCTTTTTTTTTATTTAAAAAAAGCTAATTCTTTAAGCCCAACCAATTCAATTACCTGTCAAATCTGGACAGGACGGCCTTTCAGGCCTTTTTTATTGTCATTATAGATGGTATTACGGGGAACCCCGTGGCAGCCACATCCGTGCTCAAGCCTCCAACGAGAGAACATGCGGGAGCTGCACCCACCAGCAGGTGCGATACCTGCTACAGCAGGTGGGCGATACCTGCCAGGGGTCAGCCGGTAGCATCGGTGGGTGCGATACCTGCTACAGCAGGTGGGCGATACCGGCCAGGGGTCAGCCGGTAGCATCAGGACCGAGCTTCTTCGATGGGCCAGTCACTGTGCCTCCCCTCCGGTCCCCTCCCCCTATGAACATCAGCAGTCTCTGCTCAATGCCACTCGGGGGGACCAACGGCATATCTCTAGCTGGCGGGCGCCAAGCTTGCCCAGGAAGGTGCATATCTTTGGCCAAGTATCCTACAAAAAAGATTTCCTAAAGCCAAAAGCATTAAGGGATTGCAATCGGAGTAGGAGCATCATGACGTCTTTCGATGGCTTAGCCAAAAGCATGAAAGGATTGCCATCAAAGTAGGAGCATCATGACCATCTTTCGATGGCTTGGAAAGCATTGGTTGGAGCAAGAAAAGTGGGAAAAAGTAAACGAAAAATCAAGTCTTTTTTTTTTTTTTTTTTTTTTTCCCAATAAAAGGCGACGGTCTTGAGATATCATCATTGAGCGGAACGGCCCCAGGCAATTCAGAAATGTTCGGTTTTTCTCGTCAAGTTCCATCATCTGGGTTTGAACACGGGTCTGTATTTCAACAGTTCAATGGTGTACCCACTGGTGTGGGGGTCCTTATATCTTTATAAACCCACTTATCTTTGAGAAAGTCCGCCAGATTGTTTTCCTTCATAAATTCCAGTTGGCTCTAGCCTCTTGGGTCCTGCAAATATTTTTTGCTGTGAAACTACCGGGACCTCTCGAGCTGCAACGAAATATATATTTTTGCAGCGAAATATATAGTTTTGCAGCGAAACTTGGGCCCCGCCAAAGTTTTTGCTGTCAAACTTGGTCGTCATCTTGAGCTTTTCAGCCCGGCTTAGTTCTGGGGTCAGATGCGTCCAGGGAAATATATATTTTTGCAGCGGAACTCGCACTAGGACTTTTTGGACTGAGCTCTGGGCGTTATCGGGGTCCAAAATTCTCCAAACAACCAGGGAATGGTGGAATTCCGGTCAGCAACGCTGAGGAAAGTCCTAGTTCGAGTTTTCAACCCCTCTCAGTTCTGGGGTCAGATGCATCCAGGATATGCTGGAACTCTGGTCAGATACGTAACATCATACGTTTAGGAAAGTTGGTAGTGTGAGTTGGCAATCCTGCTACATGAACGGAATTAGTCCTTGGGAGGTCAGATGTGTGAAGAGATGATCATTAGCCAACCGTGAGGCCGGAGTTCATGGAAATGATGGGACTCTGGTTTTACAGAAGATGACTAATTTAGGCTATTCTTTGTCGGAAACCCATGAAGGAGTTGTCCCACGTTGACCAACTCCAAGCACAAAAAAGAGGTGTTGATGCGTTAATGACACGCTCACAGGTTTGATGATGGAGGAAATTTGGTAGGGTGCTGCTCATGTGTGAGTATGGACTCAGGACTTCCTTCACCTCTATCCTGATGTTCGGAGTGATGAAATGGGTGGTCAGGTTTGCTCGTTCTCTGCTTCGGTCTCTGCTCAGTATTCGTGTGGGAGATTTCCCTCTTCTCTTTTAAGTATTGCATGATACTCCGGGTTGTTTGTGGAGGGTTTCCCTGCCTCCTGTTCTGATTGTTATAATGAAATTACATTTTATATTTTTTAAATGCATGATTGTTATAATTATCTTCTTTTTTTTTTTAACATGTAACGAGATGGCCCGTCGATGGGTGTTGTTCGTTTTGAAAGGGCGGTGGTGTAGACCTATAACCATCCAACTCGACCTATAATCATCATCCAAGTGACCATCCCCAGGTAATTTAAGAGTGCGGATTCGAACACAGGTTCCCAAGAGGTTTTAGAGTGACCAACTGAGCACACACTCGGACTAGCACTACATTGAGTGTATCTGACTGTAGTTATGGCCTTGGATTCCTCTGACCGCATGTACATTGCAGTAGTACGGTAAAAAGTCCTAGCGCAAGTATGCCTTGAGCTAGACCCGTTGGTAACGACTGCGGCGAATGGTATTGTGCTGCGTGCCATTCTGCAATTTCTGTTTGGTGTTTGTGTCCCCGATGCTCCCCACTTCTGTTATTACAGCCTAATTGCTCATGGGTGATACGTTGTGGCTGCCTGTTTGTGTTGTAATTTTTTGCCAGATCGCATCGAAGGATGGTCTCGAGTTCGTTAGTGTGACCACGTCTTCGCTGCCGCTCTTGGTCAATCTTGCCGGCCATAATTCCCTCCTCAATAACATGCCCGAGCGTGTCGTCGAAGAGGCATTCAACATTCCTTCAGAGCTTGTGAAGAAGCTACGCCACCAGAGGGTGCAGTATACTGTCATTCTGCCGCCGCCAAGCTCTCAGAAACAACAGCAGGAGGAGAAGCTGTAGAGGAAGCTGGTTTAGTACTAATGCACGAAGACTTGCTAAATGAGATTGAACACTCGCTGATTACTTGACAACGAAGTATCAGCCAGTGGCCCAGCGGAGTGCAGCGATGTTGTGTACAATTGCTTTCGGTCAGTGAATGTTCATGACACTTGGCAGTCAATTGCAGACTGTCGATCACACCCGTACTGTGGTCTAATACTGTCAACCGTATGCTTGAACTCTCAGTCACACCCGTACTGTGGTCGACGCCGAATGTCGGACTCGATGGTCGTACTATTGACCGTATGCTCGGGCATGACATTGAAAGAATTAGGCTGCAGGTGTCGTGTTGGTCTATTGTAGAGGAGAGCAAATGACTGTTCTGGTGACGGTCAGGAAAAGGAATGATACGACCATCTATCGTGTATATTAGGAAGCAAGAGATTGAAGGGAGGCCACAGCACAATTCTTTTGGTGGGAACAGAAGAGTAGGTTTTGACGGCATGCACACGTGAATGCGATGGAATGTGAATGTGCACCGGCACCTGTGGGCATGTCCAAACCTGTGGGGTCCAGAGGGGATGTGCATAGAAGATGGATTGGGGGTGTTGGAGCAGTTGCTGACCCGGCTGATTTCAATGTGCATCCATCTGTGTGGATGTCCAGACCTGTGGGAATGTGCATACAAGATCGATTGTAGGATGTTTATCTGTGGTCGTTGTATTGCTATAGATTCAAGGGGGGTGTTGAAGCAGCTGTCGGAGCACAGCTGCTAACCTGGCTGTGCGGCTCTCCCATAGCATGGTGTACATTATGTGCATACAAGATCGGTTGTAGGATGTCACTCATCTGTGGTCGTTGTATTGCTATAGATTCAAGGGGGGTGTTGAGCAGCTGTCAGAGCACAGCTGCTAACCCGGCTGTGTGGCTCTCCCATAGCATGGTGTACATTAATTCCCATTGTTTGTGTAAACTCCTTTTGTTTGGGCTGTGGTTGATTTGTGTGTGGTTGCTTTTGAGGTTCGTTTGTACTGTGTTGGTAATTTGTACAAGACTTGATGATGGGTGGGAGAGATGGTAAGTGAGATAGGGCCACATGCTCAATCTACTGCTATTGTAGCTTTTAACCTACTGTCTTCGATGGCCGGTTATTATAGCTACATTTGGCACAACTTCGAGTCCAGATGCAGCAATAATGACCGGGCATTTTATTTGGGTGAACACGGTAGCCTGGTAAGTGAGTGGCAAGGAAATGCCAAGGATCAGACTTGGCAAGTAGGAAAGAGTTTGGGGAATTTAGAGCAAGTCGCTTAGTCTGTCACAAGAACGTTGTGATGATGGGTGGGAGAGAGACCAAGTGAGATATAGGGACACGTGCTCAATCTATTGCTATTGTAGTTTTGAAACTGGCCCTGGAAGTGAGTGGGCAGGATTGGACTAGGCCAGTAGGTAGAGTTTTGGGAATTCAGAGCAAGTCAGTTAGTCCGTGATGCGTTATGTCTTGCGATAGATGAGTGTTTAGGGTTTAGGGTTTTGTCTCTTATCTTGTGAGAGATTACTTGTTTCAGGGTGTACCTGTCCCGGCTGTCCGGCCGTAAGGTGTACTTGGATTTTATCAGTGTACTAATCGGTCAGAACGTGTTGTTCCTTTTTGAAGAGACTCCACCGAATTCGGATTGTATCAGTTCAGTAACTGGTTAGAACGGGTTGGTTTTGTTTGTCATTGAAGAGATTCCGCGTCTGCGATCTGCTGGAGCTGGGGGCATCACTGGTGGTTGAGTTCTTGAATTTGACTGCAGTGGCGTTGAGCATTCCTAAGTAATTGTGAGCGAGTCAGAAGAGATGGGTTGACTTGACACATGCATTCGACTTCAGTGTGTGCAATATGAGACTTTTTGTATGACCCTTGCAACCAGAGCCAAATGGAAAAAACAAGGGACGTGCAATTTGTACTACAGTGTGTCCTGGTTGTGTGTGATGATCTTTTGAAATCTGTTTGATGATCTCTTGAATGCTGCTGTGTTCAGAATCTAACCAAGTGGCGCAAGAATCTTTGGGCAGTCAAACTGCAGACAAGTGTGGTGGTTGGGTGAAAAGGAGCACTGGTTTCACAAAACCGGCATACGGGTCTTTCACGACCCAGTCACCCAGATGGTTCTCGTCCGGTCCTGTTCTAGTGAATGAGGTGGGGAGTAACTTTGGAAGAAAATGCTGCTTGAAAGAGGTGGGGTTTTGAGGTTTGGGTCTGAAAGCCGAAAAGGCACTGGGACTACAGGAAGGGGGTTGAAATGTGTATGGCTGCAGCACTGTTGAGGTTGTGTGTGTCTTTTTGTCTGTGGCTGTGCATGTTTTTTGGGCTCTTCTGTGGTACTCAGAGGCTAGAGCCTATGATGCTGTGGTCTGCTGAATGGCCGCAGGGTTTATTGAGTTCGCATTGTGGCTGTGCATTGTGATTGTGCTTTCGGATGTATGTGCTGGTATTTTGGTCTCCAAGGAATGCGGGCTTGTCTCGATCCTTTTTGTTTATGGCGTAACTCGTGGTTTGGGGGTTGATTGGGGCTTGCAGAAAACAAAAAAAGAAAGTTAAAAAATAAATCTTGATTGATTGATTGATTGGCGGGGAGGAGGTCCCCCCCCCACAACTGGGCACGCACACACACACATGGTATTTTTTTTTCTTTCTCGATTGATTGATTGATTGATTGGTGGGAGGGGGGGGGTTTGACCCCCCCTTGCACGAGCTCTCTCACACACAAACACACACACTTACGCACTTTTTCTTTTTTGCTTTTTTTTTCTTTGATTGCTTGCTTGCTTGCTTGATTGATTGATTGATTGATTGGTGGGAGGGGGGTTGCCCCCCCTTCCTCTCCCCCCCCCCCACACACACACATGGTGAGTAAAGTCTACCACATTTCTCAGGGGTGTTACTAACTCTGGTCGATGTGGCGAGTCCTTATCCATCAGTCAAATGAATCCTGGGCAGACTGTATCAACCTCCTGATGAGTCAGTGAAAAGTCCGACGAAATTGTCTGGCACAGTCGTGCTTTTGTTTTAGCGTATAGCAGACTCATCAGGAGGTTGAACCCCGACAGTCTGCCAGGATTCATTCGACTGATTGATAACGACTCACCGTGTGTGTGTGTGTGTGTGCACGAGGGGGGGGGGTGATTGATTGATTGATTG